GAAAGCTGCCCCACTAAACAAGCCCTATGGCTCTATCCCACCACTCATCTGTCAATTTGCTGTACTGTGGTGACTTGTGTGTTATTGTGATTCTGGAAGCTATGCCACATGTATTTTAATACCAGCAAAGTCAGTCATAATGGACAGGTTTCAGATAAACTTCCAGACTAAGACAGACTAGAAGAAGAAGAAGAGATGGACTACTTCTGAATATTTAGTCACTGAAAACATTATGAATAGCACCGGAACACTGTCAGATAGCACCAGAATATTGACTACAGAAACATGATAAAGAGCACCATAATATTGTCAGATATAGTACCGAAAATTATCAGGTTGGAAGGCACACAAAATACAACAGGGGAAGAGCTGCCTCCTCAAAGTAGAACTGACCATGATGACATAAATGGAGTAAAGCATTCAGGACCTTCATATGCTGTTGGGACAAAACTTAAAATGAAGAGAAACAACTGTAAACATCCATTAAGAATCAGAACATGGAATGTATAAAATATGAATCTAGGAAAATTGGAAGTTGTCAAAAGTGATATAGAATGCATAAACATTAATATCTTAGGCATTAGTGAGCTAAAATGGACTGGGATTGGTCATTTTGAATCTGACAACTACATGGTTTATTATGCCAAGAATGACAAATTAAAGAGAATGACATCTTAACCAAAAACAAAAAGAACATCTCAAGATCTATTTTAAAAGAACAATGCTGTGTGTGATAAGATAATATCCATATGTGTACAAGCTTGAGGACTAATGTGTGCCTGACCCAAGCCATGGTATTTTCAGTAACCTCATATGCATGTGAAAGCTGGACAGTGTATAAGGAAGACCGTAGAAGAGTTGATGCTTTTGAGTTATGGTGTTGGAGGAGAATATTGAAAGTGCCATGGGCTGCCAAAAGAACCAATAGATCCATTTTGGAAGAAGTGCAGCCAGAGTGCTCCTTAGAGGCCAAGATGACCAAACTTTGTCTCTCATACTTTGGACATATTGTCAGGAGGGAGCAGTCGCTGGAGAAAGACATCATGTTTGGTAAGGTAGAAGGTCAGAGGAAAAGAGGAAGACCCCAACAAGATGGACTGGCCAAGTGGCAGCATTGATGGACTCAAGCGTGGCAACAGTAGTGAGGTTGGCCCAGGATCAGGCAGTGTTTCATTCTGTTGTGCATAAGGTCTCAATGGGTTGGTACCAACTCAATGGCACCTAATAAAAATAATAATAATAGCAAGGAAGACCAGTGAATACCACTATTATTGAAATTTACACACCAACCACTAAAGCCAGTGGTGATAAAATGGAAGAATTATACCAGTTTCTTCAGTCTGAAATTGATCAAACATGCAATCAAGACGTACTGATAATTACTGGCAATTGGAATGCAAAGTTTAGAAACAAAGAAAAAGGATCAGCAGTTGGAAAATATGGCCTTGGTGATAGAAACTTTGCTGGAGATTGCATGATAGAATTTTGCAGGACCAATGACTTGTTTATTGCAAATACCTTTTTAAAACAACATAATAGATGACTTTACTCATGGACCTCAACAGATGGAATACACAGAAATCAAATTGACTACATCTGTGGAAAGAGATGGTAGAAAAGCTCCATATCATCAGCTAAGACAATGCCAGGGACAGATTGTGGAACAGATTTGCTCATATGCAAGTTCAGGCTGAAGTGAAGAAAATTAAAACAAATTAATGAGACCCAAAATATGACCTTGACCATATTCTGCCTGAATTTAGAGACCATTTCAAAAACAGGTTTGATGCATTAGGTACTAGTGGATGAAGACCAAAGAGTTATGGGATGACATCAAGAACATCATATAGGAAAAAAGCAAAATGTCATTTAAAAAAGAAGAAAGAGAGCAAAATGTATGTCAGAAGTGATTTTGAAACTTGCTTTCCAACATAGAGATGCTAAAGCATATGGAAGAAATGAGGAGGAAAAAAGCTGAATAGAAAATTTCAAGGGGTGGGTCAAGAAGACAAAGCCAAATATTATAATGAAATGTACAAAGACCTGGAGTTAGAAAACCAAAAGGGAGGAACACGCTCAGTATTTCTCCAGCTGAGGGAAATGGAGAAAAAAATCCAAGTCTTGAATTGCAATATTGAGGGATTCTATGGACAAAATATTAAATGATGCCGAAAGCATCAAAAGAAGATGGGAGAAATATAGAGTCACTGTACCACATAGACATTGTCTATGTTCAACCATCTCAAGAGGTAACATATGATCAAGAGCCAACGATACTGAAGTAAGAAGGTATACTGAAGGCATTTGCAAAGGACAGGGCTCTGGGAATTAATGGAATACAAATTTAATCTTTCAACAAACTTACATAGCACTGGAAGCACTCACTCACCTATGCCAAAAAATATGAAAGACAGCTACCCAGACAACTAGCTGGAAGAGATCCATATGTGTGCCCATTCCAAAGAGAGGTGACCCAATGGAATGCAGAAGGCCTAGGTCAATATCATTAATATTGCATGCAAGTAAAATTTTGCTAAAGATAATTCAAAACAGCTACCACAGTACATTGACAGGGAACTACCAGATATTCAAGTTGGATTCAGATGAGTATATGGAATGAAGGATATAGTTGCTGACATCAGATGGATCTTGGCTGAAAGCAGAGAATACCTGAAAGATGTTTGTTTACCTATGCTTTACTGACTATGTAAAGTCTTTCGACTGTCTGCATCATAACAAGCTATGGACTGTATTGGGGAGAAATCTCAATTGTGCTCATGAGTAACTTGTACATGGACCAGGAGACACTTGTTCAAACAGAACAAGGGGACACTAAATGATTAAAAATTAGAACAGGTGTGCACTACGATCTGTACTTTCACCATACAAAATGAACAAATCATTTTCGAAGCTGGATCATATGAAGAAAAGTGTGGCATCTGGGTTGGAGGAGGACTCATTAACAGCCTGCAATATGCAGATGACACAACCTTGTTTGCTGACAGTAAAGAGGTCTTACAGCACTTACTGATGAAGATCAAAGACCACAGCCTTTGATATGGGTTGCACCTTAATATAAAGAGCATTAAAATGCTTACCACTGGATCAATAAATAGCATCAAGATAAATGGAGAAAATACTGAAGTTGTCAAAGACTCCATTTTGCTTGGAACAACCATTGACACTGATAGAAACAGCAATCAAGAAACAAAACATTGTATTGCATTGGGCAAATCTACTGCAGAAAATCTCTTTAAAGTGTTCAAGAGCAAAGTGTTGAGGACTAAGGTGCTCCTGACCCAAGCCATGGTATTTCCAATCACTTCATACACATGTGAAAGTTGGACAAGGAATAAGGAAGACCATAGAATTATGATGCATTTGAGTTATGATGTTGGAGGAGACGATTGAAAGTACCATGGACTGCCTCAAGAACAAAAAAATCTGTGTTGGAAGAAGTACAGCAAAACTGCCCCTTAGAAGCCAAGATGGCCAGACTTGTCTCTCATATTTCAGATATATTATAAAGAGGGACCAGTCCCTAGAGAAGGACATCATGCTTGGTAAAGTGGAAGGTCCACAAAAAAGAGGAAGACCCACAAGATAGATTTACACAGTAACAACAGCAATTGGCTCATGGTTGTGAGGTTGGTGCAGGACCAGGCAGAGTTTCATTCTGCTGTACATAAACTCCCTATGAGTTGGTACCAACACAATGGCATCTAACAATAATAAATGACTCTATTGACTCCTTTGTGTAGCGCTGTAGAAGCACCACTGCTGAGCTGCGAACCACAGGGTCAGCAGTTCAAACCCACTCGTTGGAAACCCTAGAGTGTCGCTACAAGTTGGAACTTACTCAAAGACACTTAACAACAATAACATGGCTCTCCTGGAGCCCTGATTTGATACTGTAGGGTAAGGACTGGACTGCTAACCACAGGTCAGTGGTTCAAACCCACCAATTGCTCCTCAGAAACCCTACATAGGTTACTATGGGTCTGAACTGACTCAATGACATTCAACAACAACAATTGCTCCATTAAGGAGCCCTTCTACCACAATGTGTTAAGCTGTGGGGCTGGTAACCACTGGTTGGCATTTCAAATCTACCAGCACAACCTCAGATTTGTTGGATCCCTTAAGGATTTTTCCAACTCAGAGCATCTATGGTTCCATGATCTTTTTTTTTTTTTTCCCCTGTACCATTACTCACTCTGAATACATGGACTGTGACTCAGAAAGGAAAGGAATGTCAAAGACGAGGTGGGTGCTTCCAGATGGTGTTAAAACAATAATAAAGATCTGAGAATGATCTGTAACCATGCAGAAAGATCATGAATCCTATTCATTACCAAGGATGATCATCCCTTCCCACATTCTCTTTGTCAGCTCTGATTGCTGGATGCCATTTTGTGACTTATTCTCCCCTTCCTGGGTACCCAATAATTTGTTTTTGCTTTATTTCACCAGTGTAGAAATATGTCCAAGGGGTTGGCTATGAGTAGGCAGCTAATCTGCCACAACCTCACCCACATCCCCTTAGGAATGATCTTGGGCCCCACTTAATTAGGGATAGACAAGCTTGTTGCTTTTGGGATTTCAATCAATTAATTCTTTCTTCTCGACAATGGGGCTATTGTAAGTGTCACCACTCACTGACAGATGAAATTAAGGCGTGTGAGAGAGTTGCGAACAGCAAGGGTGTAGGCTGTATCAACGCAAGTGCAATGAAAGCATCCTCTCCCAGAAGGCAGAAAATAAAAGCATGCTTAAGGTTTGACCATGTGTGTTGGGATGACATCGTTTTAAAAAAGATACACATATTTTCATTTATGTACTGAACAATGAAGAAGTTTCCATTCTCTGAAAGTACCTGTCCCCTTTCAAGTCACTCCGGCATGACCTAATTGGCAATAGTTTGCTCACAAAGGGTACTGAGAAGCTTGTTACGATTTCAAGAGAAGATTCCATAGAGTTTTAATACTCACTTCTCCTCCTCAACGATTCATTAATTTAGGTCCATTGGTTGGGCTTAATGATGGATTCTAAATGGGAAAAAAAGTATAATAATGTGGCGTTAACAAGTAATGGCGTTGACAAATACATCAACAAATTAAGACATGCGAAGTAACCAACCTGACACAGCTATACTGACCTAAAGGATTCTATTTCCCTGAATATAACATTGTAATCTACACCATTTTTTTATGTTTCCTTAAGAAATAAAAAGAAAACACTTGACAATTAAACCATGAGTTGCCACTGACTGTGAGATATATTCCAATTTCAGAAATGTTAAAAGGCAAAGAAAATGTCTATCTTAAAATTGATGAACTATGCTACTAAAAGTCAGACTCGCTACTAGTTAACCATAAATGCTAGTTCTCAATGTGTCCACAAGATTTTCTGTTTGTTTGCTTGTTTTTAAAAGAAGTAACATTTATTGAGAATCTACCAGTTGAATAATAACTTCTTTTTCATTAATGTAGAAATGCTGGCAATTTTAGACTGTGCCCTAAACCAAACAAAGATAACCAAGTCAAATGTCTTCTTCTTCAATATGTATATACTTAAATCCAAGAAAGTGTGATTTACAGAGAAGAATCCTGAACAAGGAAAATAAAGGAAGAGTGCCACTCCAGTTAGACCTAGTGCAGCATTTCTTTTGATTAGCTGAATGACACTGAACAGATCCCTTAAGTACTCTGGGCCTTGGATCCTCACCTGTAAAATGAGTGCATTAGACTAGAATTTTGTTTCTAACATTATCTTTCATTTACCAGCTCTCACTTTTTATGAATCAAGGATCCTGGTTTTATATGGTCCCATCTCAATGTGCTAAATGTCAAGCTGAAATATTCCCAATGTGGAAAATTCATTTAAAGGCTATATTCTGCTGACCTTAAGTTTCAGCAGGACACTCAAAATTGTTGAATAAAGAAATGAATGGATGTTTGTATGCCCTAATAACTCTTTGGTAATATCACCTGAGAACTAAACTGTAGTATTCATCTCTGCACAACTTTTCAAAGGACACCAACCCTGAGCTTCAAAGGGGAGGCTTACCTCGGCTGTCCTTGATTTCCCCTTCAGTGAAGTCATGCTCATCTTCAAAGCATCTCTTATCTAAAGAAGCAATGACCGTGAGAAAACACCTCATAGATGTCAGAGTAGACAACAGAATCCCCAAGGCCCAGTCCTGTGCCTGCAATATTGGCATCAATATCCCTGGCAGAAGCATCGGATAACTTGCAACATACTGAGCACACTGTCTGTCAAATAATAAGACTTGGGTAAAAGTTGATGTGTAGTCATCACTAAATGTAGGACTAAGGTTAGGACTGTGGTTGTGGGGTTTGTTTGTTTTTTTCCTCCAACCACACTTATAGCCTCCTATTGACTTGTTTAAGGGTCTGAAATGAAAAAAATAGAGCTTTATTCTTTCCTCTTCTCAGTTGATACCCCTACAAGCATCTCCACAGACTGCTTCAATCTCTTGCTTCCCTTGGCCACATGGAGTTTATTTATAGTGAGTGAAGTAAACTCAAATTACCTTGTGATCCATAATGGTTCCAAACAGCAAGATGAAGAACCCCTGCAGCAAAATTCAACAGAAACATGAGAGGCAGTGTTGCAAACAATATTCCAGGGGTTATTTTAATAGCAAAGTTCCTGGATAGTTCATACGGCTAGCATGCTAGGCAGCTAATAAAAACGTTGGAGATTCAAGTCCATCTAGAATCAGCTCAGAAAAAAAGGTCTGATGATCAACAAAAACCCTCTGGAGCCCAGTTGTACTATGACACACTTGAGAGCTCCGTGAGTTAGAGAAGACTCAACAATAGCTTGTTTATTCTAAGACCACTCTTCTCCATATTGCCTAGGAAAGTCATCAGCCATCAGAAACATTATTTCCACTGCACAGATAAAAAGTCATTGGTGATATAATTCAATAGTGAGTAACTGTTATCATGACTAATAGCAACCATCACAACTATAAAGGTAAAAGTTTTGTAACAAAAAGAGGGGATTAGTTAATCTTACAGTCCAGGAACAGAGGACCCTAGGGTCATCAAGGGAGAAGAGCATGAGTGGAATGTGGGACCCTATCCAGAGAAGCAGCGAGACCAGAGATGAAGGCAGAGATGAGGACATGGAGGGAGGGAGCAGCTGAGGACTCATGGTAGAAAAAACTGTATGCTGGCCGCCAGGAGGCAAGCTTGCAGAATGTGCTCTTTCGTTGTTTAATTTATTATATATTCCTGGCTGTTTTTGTTTATAGCCCCCCAAAAAAATAGAAACCAGAGGGAATGGAAGCAAATACTGTTGAATGGTGATGCACGGAGGAGATTGTAGTCATTGCAACTAAACGAGGAGTGTAAAACCAATGTTCTCCCATGTAAACTATCACTCGTTCACAATAAAAACTTTTTTTAAAAAAAGTAATTGATGGGTATTTGTTTTTTAAATCTACTTCCATTCTTGGAAAAGAATCACCCTCATGGGCTGTACATGAGTAGTGATTAAATTAATTGAATGGCTGCAAATACAACATAGAGTTTTTGACCTTATTAAATCTTTTTACTTTCTTCCCAAATATCAATGCAGCTGTTTTCTCTCATGATGACAGAGACATGTAATGAGATATATTGTGGTTCAAAATCAAAGTCACATAAGATATCTGACATTGGAGCCAGGAAACAGACTGCCAGGGCCTCTGAATTGATGAATAGGAGAGAAGGCTACAGAGATCTGTGAGACCAAGGTATCCGTTAAATTATATGGACCCTTAGAAAGTATCATAAGGAGCCCTGATAGTGGAGTGGATTATGTACTGGGCTGCTAACCACAAGGCCAACAGTTCGCATCTACCAGTGGCTCCACAGGAGAAAGATGAGGCTTTTTGCTCCTATAGCAATTTACAGCCTTGGAAAGCCTACACAGGGTCACTAGGAGTCAGAAGTAACTCAGCACACAACCACTCCCAACAACCAGAAGTATCATTGTGTTGTGCAAATGGTTAATACATTCACCAACTAACCAAAAGCTTGTTGGTTTGTGTTTACCCAGAGGTGCCTTGAAAAAAACACCTGGTGATCCCAAATCCCAGTCATTTAAAATCCTATGGAGCACAGTTCTCCTTTAACACACATGGAGTGGCCATGAATCCTAGACAACTCAACAGCAACAGATTAAGAAAGTCATACTAAATTATGGTTCTTCTTTTAAACTGGGAATTGAGGCCCAAGGAAAATTTGAATCCTACAATGAAAGTAAAGAGAAGCCCGGAATCCTGAGAATAGTTTCATGGTGGGAAAAATAAAAAAAGATAAGATGGCTGAACATTTAAATGAGAACACAGGGAAGCCTTGCTGAGAAAAGGTGAGTTTCTAGAACTTAAAGTGTTTGAGTATTTTTCTTCCTAAAGAGATAAAGAAATGATCTACAAAAGAAAAAGTAATACATTTCTAGGGTTTTAATTAAGTTGCAAAGTAAAAAAGAAAATGAGATAATGAATACATCACCAAAGTAATTTCAAGAATTGAAGAGATTTATGTAATACCAAGAGCTTTTCTTTAAAAAAAAAAAAAAAAAAACTTCAGTCAAAGTCTTCTTTTTAAAACAATGCAAAGGAGATAGTGAAATAATATTCCCCTTAGAGAGTAAAGAATTATGAGTAAGATATATAGTTGATTGGGGTTGGCATTTATTTAAAATTTGTTTCATATTTTATATCACATTTTTAATAGAATAGTAGTAATATAAGACGGCCATGAATCCAAATAACATTGACACCAACAATAATAATATTAATTGTTGTTAAGTGCCGCTGAGTTGGTTACAATTCATAATGACCCTTTATAGAGTTTCCAAGGAACAGCTGGTGGGTTTGAACTGCTAACCTTGTGGTTCGCAGTCCAGGGTTGATCCTACAGTGCCACACCAGGGCTCTTCACAACAGTGACAATAAGAATAATTTGACGCTTTATTAAAGAGTTGTATTTCTATTGTTTAAAGAAGAAATCAGAATTGTTTTAATGCAAAGAAGCAGATAGTCAATCTTTTAGACATTGCAGACATAGAGTCTCTGATGTGATCACTCCTATCTACTGTTGTCACTCAAAAGCAGCCCCAGACCAAAGGTAACGGGATGAGACCATAGCTATGTTCCAATAAAACTGTCTTTATAATAGCAGTGAGCTGCACTTTACCAAGCCCTGATTAATGCATAATTAAAAACATGGACCTGCTAAAGTTTCTACTATCCATACATATTGAAAGCAGTCTGGTTGTTAACACACTTCCCCAAATTACCAGATTAGTATTTAAGAATGAGTAAAACAATGTTTAGAGGAATAATCGTGCCAAACCAAGTCTTTTAGAGTTAGAATAGACAATAGAGATCATTTCAGATCCGTGGTGTGGCGCTGTGAGTTAATGCATCAGATTGCAAAGCCGTTTGAACTGCAAGGTCAGTGGTTCAAGCTCACCAGCTGCTCCTCGGAAACCCTACACAGGATGGCTATGGGTCGGAACCAACTTGACAGCATTTAACAACAACAACAAAACTTTATTTTACAGATGAGAAGATTGAGGCTCACAGAAAATGACTTTCCCAGGACAATATACTTTCTGGTAAGACCCATTGTTATGTACAATAATTTACATGTAGTCCATAAAGAATGGCAGGGAAAAGGTATAAGAACTCTTGAATGGTTAACACCCAAAGTAAATAAGCAGGGTGCCCTCTGGAAAAAGCTTGTAGTTTCACTGAATCTCCAAATTTCTTGGGAACAGGTAGAAATTATAGTTGTATGATTGTAGCCTCATACATCCTTGACCCAAGAATAGTTCTCTATAGTAAAGAGTATCTTCTTCTCAAGTTTTAGGAAGGATACAAATTAACCATAAGGAGAAAAGGAAAAGAGATTCCCACTAACCAACCAGATCAGCTAAATCCAACTTGACAATCAACAGGGTGAGAGACATACAGCCAAATACCTCTAAGAAAGGGAAGTAAATTGAGAAACACTTTGTGAATTTATCATTTTAAATTATAATCATTTTGTTGCTGTTGTTACATAGGCAAAATAACAGAAAATCTCCCCTTTTGGAACGTACCTGGAAAGCATTGAGTAAGGCAAAGATTATGTGGAATATTGCCGGAATACCTTCGATCAGAGTGACGATTCCAAAACCCCACGTTAGTCCCAGCAATGGGGTGAGAATGGCCACATTTTTGCTAATCCTCATAATTATGGCCACATCCTGAGACTTGGAACTGCCAATAGAGGGCCTCTGAGTGTTGACAGCAACAACCAAAACTACAAGGAGATTCACAGCCACAATGCCCAAGGCCGGAATGACAAATGCTAACAGGGCTTTGGAATTGTCCCAGTTAAGCCAACAGGCCTCAGGTCTCACATAGCCTTTGCCCGGCTCTGTAATGGCAACTGTGGTGACAGCAATGACCAACGGACACCCATAGCCAATGGCAAAGCCAATAGCCATCATGCGGGGCTTCATCATCCTTCGAAAAATGACCAATATTCCATAGATAATGAGCAGTGCTTTGAAGAGCATCCAAAAAAACAGAGAGAGGTAGAAAAAATGACTGAAAAATGTCACTGTAACACACAAGTTGTAGTCCTGGGCCTTGCTGTTCAAGTTAGAGGCTATGATGAAACACACGTTAGCGATCAGGAGCGACACAGCTATGTTCACAATGCACACGTGGCGCATGTATGAAATCTCCGTCACAACCACCCGGGACCACACCATGGCTTCAACGATTAGGCAAAGAATCAAGCTGAGGATAGAGATACTGAGACCGATGCAGGTGATGTATTCCAGAACTTTGTCGGTTATAGATTTGGGGGACATTAGAATGGAAAAAGACATCACCGTGTTGCTAGCGTTACAGCGGCATCTCACTTGGTTCCTGATATCCAGCACCTTTACGCATGCGTTCTCATCCCACCTCTTTTTTCTGGAATGCCAGCCAACGCATTGGGCTCTAGCATTCCTGGATGTGTTGATTTTCTCGAAGGTGAGTAAGATTTGCTTCAAGCTTTCTGGTAAAACCACCGATAGGACCAGACCATTCACCAGCCTAGGAAGACTCACATTTTGCAAGTGGGTTTCTTTCAGAATGATTCCCAAAGTGGGGAAAGCTATGCTAATAACTTGGGATGCGTTCGGAAGCTTCCACAGTTCTTGCTTGGGAATTTCTATCATTCCTGAGATGCCGCCTGTCATGTTTTTCATTTTCATGGAGAAATTAAAACTTTTCTCTGAGGTATTGTGGTTGATGTGAATACCTTTTGTCTGAATGAAGAGTTCATCCACGATGTTCTCAGATTCATTGTGAAGGTGGAGCTGCCGGGCAAACAAATTCACCGACTGCAGCAGATCTGAGCTGGTGTTTTTGTTGGGAATGAAAGACCAATTTGAAATCGCTGCTGTGTCGAGGATGTGGTTGGCCACTTCACTATAACTCTGCAATGGAGAAAAATGGCTTTTATACTAAGGGTTTACATATATTGTACAAAGTCAATTCCTGTGAAATTTCAAAAGAGCAATGAATCTGATCTTATTTGACACATGTCTCTTCAAATTTCCTATGCATCAGAATCCCTTTTCAATAAGCCTACGCAGAGGCACCAAAAGGAAAGGAACACGAAAGAGGGAAACTTTTAGTTGTTTATTAGTCCTACAACAGTATGTCCAATCTGTAGTCTAGAGAATTTGAGTGTCCTGGGAGTGGTTAATGTGTGTTTAATGGAAGGTGGTGGGGCAGAGTATATGGTAAGTCAAGTTTGAGAATTACTACTAAGAAACAAACTACTTGTCATACAGTTGATTCCAACTCATTACACTCCCATGTGCTTTTCAAATGACTCCCAAGACATCTCTGGGTAGATTTGAACCACCAACCTTTTAGTTAGTAGCTAAAGGCTTAACCATTTGCACCATCCAGAGGAGCTACCATACCTCAATATCCCTCCCCAATTTAGAAAGAGCCTCAAAGTTCATTAGGACATTAAAAGCTCTAAAAATTATTGTCATAAGGGAATCTACTTAATTTTGTTTAAACTAGAATTTGTCCAACATCTGCTTGCTATGGAACCCCTTTTACAAAACAGAACCTCCATTAACATTTCTCAGCACAATTATGTTCTATAGAAAATAATTTTGGAAATATTAGTCTAGATTCAGTCATGCTCAAAACCATGAATATGTGACATTTTTGCATATGCAAAAAAGTATTTTTCAAAAAAAGTCCTGAGTCCTTGTAAATTTCCATAAACTAAAATAAACCAATGTGCAAAATTGAAGTAAAATGCTTGTGACTATTACGGTTGTTGCAGCTTTACCTTAAAAAAAAAAAAACACAAAACTTTGAAACTGATAAAATGCAAGATTTTGAGAAAAAACATTGTCAGTTTTTTATTAAATTAAGAAATACCTTCATTTTCTCTCCAGTAACATTGTCAGACAAGTCTATAGAAATATTCTTTAATAATTCTACTATAAATGCAATATTTCCAGATGTGGTTTCTGATGATTTCACAGCATCCACTATGCAGGCATAGTCAAATGGGCATTTCTTTTGGATTCCTTGAGCCACATCATTGATAGGCTTTGGAGTGCGAAGGTTGAGGCTGGGCAGAGGTATAGATGCTGCTGCTAGTGAAAGACGTGATACAGCATTAGGGTCCTGTTTTAAAAAAACAAAAAAGTTTTATTAAAAAATAATTAAGTACTAAGAGGTGCAAAAGGTTTGCACTCAGCTCTTGATGTTGTTAGGTGCTACTGAGTCCATTTTCAACTTGTAGCGACTATGTGACAGAGCTGTTATTGTTAAGTGCCATCAAGTCGGTACTGACTCATAGCGACCTTATGCACAGCAGAACATAACACTGCCCAATCCTGGGCCAACCTCACCACTGTTGCCACGCTTGAACCCATTGATGCTGCCACTTTGCCAATCCATCTCGCTAGGGGTCTTCCTCTTTTTCTCTGACCCTCCACCTTAACAAACATGACATCCTTCTCCAGAGACTGGTCCCTCCTGACAATAAGTCCGAAGTATGAGAGATGAAACTTGGCCATCTTGGCCTCCAAGGAGCACCCTGGCTGCACTTCTTCCAACACAGATCTATTGGTTCTTTTGGCAGCCCATGGCACTTTCATATTCTCCTCCAACACCATATCTCAAAAGCATCAATTCTTCTACGGTCTTCCTTATTCACGGTCCAGCTTTTGCATGCATATGGGGTTATTGAAAATACCATGGCTTGGGTCAGGCGCACCTTAGTCCTCAAGCTGACATCTTTGCTTCTTCAACACTTTAAAAAGGTCTTGTGCAGCAGATTGGCCTAATGCAATATGTCGTTTGATTTCTTGACTGCTGCTTCCGTGAGTGTTAATGGTTGATCCAAGAAAAATGAAGTCCTTGACAACTTCAGTCTTTTCTCGGTTGATTTGTTTTGCCTAATAGCGGTTGTTTTGTTTGCTTGCTTTGACTGTAAACTTTATGGAGACACATTTCTAGGCCTGTCTCCCATGGAGCTACTGGGTGGGTTTGAACTACTAAGTTTATGATTAGTAGTCCAGCACTTAACCATTCTGTCACCAGGGTTACTAACCAAAAGCATGGTCATTCAAACCTACTTAGTAGAGCTGTGAAAGACCATTAGTAATCGACTTCTATAAAATTTAAAACAAATAATGCATCGTCATCAAGTCAATTCTGACACACGATGACCCCAAGTGTTACAGAGCAGAATTAAGCTCCAAAGGATCTTCTTGGTTGTAGTCCCTCTAAATCACACATACCTCTTTTCCTTTGGTCAAGAGGTTGAAAGTATTTAAAAATAAAAAACAAAATAAATTTTCTTCCAGGCAGAGAATCAAATTATATAGCTAATCAATTGATTAGTCAATTGATTATTGTTTGCTGTTGTGTGATGTCAAGTCATTCCAACAGCAAAATGGGTTTCAACTCATAGTGACTCTGTATAGGGTTTCTGAGAAAGGCTGGTTGATCTGAACTGCTGACCTTGTGGTACCAGTCCAGTGCTTATCCTGCAGGGTCATACCAGGACCTTAAATTAATTGATCAACTAGATTAATTGAGTAATTAGCATAATAATCATGCAAATGAACCTTTAAAGTTAAAACTTTAAGCACCAAGCTGTCATTTACACCATTGTGTAGATGAGTTTCAGATCTTTTTGTGAAAACAGATTCTGGGGGAGAGAAATATGATAATTGGCTGACAAAGGTAGGACAAAAGGAAGTTGGAAAAGGGGAAAGTACCTGAGAGTTTAAGTAAGGAAAATAGACAAGGAATCAATTTCATGCACTCTGTGGATCTTCCTAAATCAAGGTCTGGAATTTATCATCATACTCAACATACCAAAATAAATAAGTCCACTGCCGTCGAGTCAATTCTGACTCATAGTTACCCTATATAGTTTCCAACACTGGAAATCTTTACAGGAGCAGACAGCCTATCTTTCGCCTATGGAGCAGTTGGTGGGTTTGAACTGCCATCTTGAGGTTAGCAGTCCAGTGCTTATCCTACGGGCTTCTATCCTGAACACTGTTATTGTCATTTAAGTTCCGTTGAGTCATTCTGACTCGCAGCGACCCTCTAGAGGGTTTCCTAGGGTTTTTAAAATCTTTATGAGAGCAGAAAGCCTCATCTTTCTTTGTCAGAGCTATTGGTGGGCTTGAACCATGGACCTTGTAGTCCTCAGTCCAGCGCTCATTGTATGATGACACCATGCTCCTACATGTTGTTGTTGCTAAGTGACGTTGACTTGGTATAGGGTTTCCAAGGAGAGGCTGGTGGGTTTGAACCGCCTCACTTGTAGTTCAAACAGACTTTGTGGTCCAGTGCTTTATCCTACTGCGCCACACCAGGACTCCATTTTGTTGTTGTTGGTAAATGCCGTTGAGTTGTTTCTGACCCATAGTAACCCTGTATAGGATTTCTGAGGAGTGGCTGGTGTGTTTGAACTGCCAACTTTGTGGTTCAAACCGATGTTGCAGACCAGCGCTTTAACCCACAGCGCCACACTAGGACTCCATTAGTTGATGTTTTGTACCGTGTAGTCGGTTCCGTCTCATAGCGACCCTGTACAGGGTTTCCGAAGCTGTAAATCTATACGGGAGCAGAAAGCCTCATCTTTCTCCCGTGGAACAGCTGGTAGTTTTGAACTGCTGACCTTGCGGTTTGCAGCCCGATTCATAACCACTACACTACCAGAGCTCCTTATGTTGTTGTTGTTGTTGTTATGTGCCGTGGAGTCGGTTCCAACTCATAGCGACTCTGTACAGGGTTTCCGAGGCTGTAAATCTTTACCGGAGCAGAACGCCTCGTCTTTCTCCCGCGGAACAGCTGGTAGTTTCAACTGCTGGACATCAAAAATACTTTCCACCATCTCCCAGAGTATTAGCTTCTACAGTCATACATGCAAATGATCACCTGAAAGAGTGTTTCCACAGAAAGGCTGGTACATGTTTCAGTTGATTTTTGCCACTTCTTTTTATTGCATGTAAATCTTATTTCTCCTTGAAAGTGTTTGGCACAGGACTGGACACAGTAGAAAGCGGTGCAAGGTCCTTGGCATTTCTCTGAAAAGAAAGAGAGAAACCTAATTAGCCTTTCTACTTTCTGGAAGCAGTATCTACTTTTGCTAGATTTGGTTTTGCTTCCCAAAGGAGGTGGCATCAAATAGGGTTGTTGTTGGTTCCGACTCATAGCAATCCTGTACAGGGTTTCTGAGGAGCGACTTTGTGGTTCAAACCGACCAGTCACTTCCTGGCAAGCCTACACAGAGTCGCTGGGTCAGAACTGACTAGACAGCACTGCTTAACGACAACATAAAGTATACAAGTCTCCATGCAATATTGTCTTCCTGAAATTAAAATTTAACTGCGTGTCCTATATTTTATTTGTTAAATCCGGTAACCCCAACAGACAGTAAATATTTTCAGCTTTTAGGGCTGCAGTTTTGTCACAATTATTCACCTATCCATTGTAGCATGAAAGCAGCCAGAGACCATTTGTAAAAACGAGTGCAGATGACTGTTCTCCAAAAATTCTTCATAAAAACTTTTAAAGTTTATTTAAAAAAAAAAAAACTTTATTTATAAAACCTAGGGGATCAATGTATTTGAATTATGGGCTTGACAAAGAATATTGAAAGTATAATGGACTGCTAGAAGAATGAACAAATCTGTCTTGAAAGAAGTACAATCAGAATGCTTCTTAAAAGCGTGGATGGTGAGACTTAGTATCTCATAGTTTGCCCATATTATCAGGAGGAACCAGTCCCTGGAGAAGAACATGCTTGGAAAAGTGGAAGGTCAGCAAAAAAGAGGAAGCCCCTCTCCCTCAACAAGATGGATTGACACAGTGGCATCAACAGTGGGCTCAAATGTAACCATTGTGAGAATGACTTGGGACCAAGTCATTGGGACCAAGTCTGTTGTGCATAGGGTTATTGTGAGTCGGAACCAACTCAACAGCACCTTACAACAACAAAGATATTATGTAAAAGGGTGGCTGTGTTTCAATAAAATTTTATTTATAAAACTTGGCCTATAAGTTATATAGCGGATAGACTTGAGTCCAAGAGTCTAAGAATGAAACTGTTGAGGTATTCCCAGTAAGAACAGACCTAGGATAGTGGCAGTGGAGTGGAACGAAGTAGATAATACTGAGAGCTATTAAAATATTGAAATAAATACGATGAGCTCGAATGGCTGGGACAGCTCTATGGATGATCCCATTAGCTAACAAAAGAAACTGGGTTTGCATCTTCCTTTGACATCTACCAAGTGTATCATTTTTTTTTTCAAGTTATTTAATTGAATGGTTCTCCTAGCATTGCTACAAGGATTAAATAATACAGTGTCTCATACTCAGATTAGTGCCAATAGAGATGCTTAATAAATACTCATTATCATTTTTTTCACTTTCCATTCTCAAATCCACTTATACCTAGATAGATAGATACTTGTCCTTGCAGTTCCGAATCCAGTTATCCCTGCTTTGGGGTGAGAACCATATAACTTTACTCCCTAAGAATATTCTCCCTTTACCTCTCACTTCTTGAAAGTGATCAGTGTCACCACCATGAAACTCATCTTACATCGCTTCAATAAACAGTCAGTACCAAAGTGTTACCTATGTGTCTGCACCCCCAAAATAACTTTGAATGGAGAAAAGATTGAACCTTGCCCTCTTCCCTGTTCTGCTTTCTGTTAGCTCAACAGTAGAAACAGATGTCTTATTTGGACACATGTCTACTATTCTAGAACACATGTGAATATTTGTCAAATTCAGTTTATAGGTGATAGTAAACGTCTAAGAAAATCTATCCATTTTGTTAAACATGGAGAATTTATTAGAGACTAATATTCTGTTTGAAAGCCTGTGGTCCACATCCTGGAAACATGTTTGAAACACCAATGCCCTTCCATGAGTCTGCTTGGTTTCCTAAATGAATGGAGATGGCTCAATAACCTCATACCTTGTGTCTTTCCAACTTTTGCTTTTCCTTCAGGCCTTTGGTACTTATGTCCATCCTGAAAGACATAAATTACAAAACAAAACAAAACAAAATTATCTTCTTTGTAACTATCTCCTATTGTAAAGGTTCCATATGGATCGGTAGAGAAAATGTGCTCAGGACTGGGAAGAAAGCTGCACCAAATTCATATACTGATACTGCTGGAACTCGCTGAAGGAAGCATGAATGTGAGCACAGACAAGTAGTAAATGTCTTCTACTGAGAACTACAACTGTGGCACTTGTCACTATGGCTCTAGTTATCAGGATAATGAATTAGGTGTATGATTTGGGAAGTTTAAGTATCTAAAGATGACAGAAACGATGACAATTATACCACTAAGCTCTTATACGCCTTTATTTAACAATGAGATGGAATTCATCTGGTCTGCCAGATACCGTATGTCCTTAGGAGAGAATGAGTCAATAAGAAGAATAATCATTAAATTGCAATAATAGAATTATGAACTCATTAACTCATTTATAACTGAAAATGACTGTAACGGTTGTCAAAAGAAACACGTTAATTTACCCAAGGATAAAGTTCAGAAGGGTTGGGAAAGGAGAAATGGAAGTAAGACCCACAGGGAGGAAGGAGAGTAAGGGATGTTACGTTGAGAGCGCTGCAATCAGTGAGATGAAATAAAGTGTGCATGATCTGTTGAGTGTAAAGCTGGTGATCTAATCTATAAACCTCCACTCAATTTACAATAAAAATTATAAAAATAATAATAAACCTCTTCATATGCTTGAAATCGATTAGTGCAATGGACTGATAAAACACATGAACATCAGTCTTCATGATCCTGACACCAGTAGAATTAGATGATGCCCAACTACCACAAAGCAGCTCTGGTAGCATAGTGGTTACAAGTCGGGCTGCTAATCTCAAGGTCAGCAGTTCGAAACTACCAGCCATTCCATGTGAGAAAAATGAGGCTTTCTGTTCCCGTAAAGATTTACAGCCTCGGAAACCCATACAGGGTCACTATGAGTCGGAACCAACTCCACGGCACATAATCACCACCACCGACTAGCACTACCAACTGTTCTGAAAGGAACCATATTAGAAGGTCTTAGATAAAGTGGGCAAAATTGTGGAACAAACCTCAGAATTATGAAAAAGAGTGGGTTTACTGATCAGAAAGAGACTGAAGGAACTTGACACTATAGCCTTGGTTACCTCTCAGGTCTAGAACTGAACTCACTCTCGTGGCTCCATTTTCAGCCATGTAGGAGATAGGTAGAGAGGGAGACAAGCATCAACCATATGAGATCAAAAGGGCAGCATTTACCTAAGGACAAACTTTAGAAGGATTGAGGACAGTGGGATGGAAACAAGAATCACAAGGAGGAAGTGGGATAATCAATGTTACATGGAACGGATTGTAATCATTGAAATAAAATAAAATATATGGTTTGTTGAATGTAAAACTAAAGATCTACTCTGTAAACCTTCACTCAATTCACAATAAAAAGGTGTTGTTTTTTTTCACACACAAAAATCTTCATGTTATAAATAAGGAAATTAAGACTCACAGAAGTAAAGCAATTTCTGTAAAGAGCCAGAAGCGAAGTTAAGATTTAAATCTAAATTCTTCCTTCTCTCATCAGCTGCCTCTCTACCTTCTCTGTAGCTTGCAAAGTGATTAATTTGCTTTAGTACCTTGAGCACGTTTCTGCCACTTCTCAACTATTCTTTGTTCCCTTCTTCAGAAAGCTCCTAGCATTAAGAGTAAAATAAAATTATTTGAAAAATGTATCTAAAGTTTCATGTTGTTCCTCAGAAATCTAGCCTTCTAGGGAAACTGTAAGTTTTCTTCTGGGACCATATCAGGATGGATCGAACTTACTTTTGTGTGGGTTTGGGATCTATTTTGGGAACATTCTGTGGCCAAAAATAATACTAAACAGCAAATCATGCTTGCCTGGGCCTTCATTTTCACACATCAGGATCTTCACCTGCAATAGAGAAAGAAAGTTAATTCAAATGAAGATAATAAATCCACACAACTATCCCATTACTTGGTGGGCTAACCAACCACTTAGTGAATTCATTAGAGTACTATGGGATTTTCACAGCAAAGCAACCCTCTCCAGACAAGCATATCAATATCTGTTTTCAACCCAACTAAAAAGGAGTTCCTGGATGACATAACTGGTTAAGTGCTAGACTACGAACCTAAAGGTTGGCAGTTCAAATACGGCCCGGAGTACCTCAGAAGACAGACCTGGTGATCTGCTTCTGAAAGGACCCAGTCTTTCGCTATGGAGCAGTTCTACTCTGCACACATGTGGTTTCTGAATCAAAAATCTGCCCAGCTCTATGGTAACAACAGCACATAGCAAAAGATAGATTTCTTTTCGTATGTTGACCTTTCCACAAACAGAAGACAGGAATGATGGAAAAACCAGGGTAGTTGCCTGTTCACCAAAATATTATTTTTACGATTTAATCCACATTTCATTAATAAAAAGTAGCTTTTGTGAAACACTTCTATTTCCCCAATCACTGTTCAGAGTACCTACCTGCATTAACTCATCTAATCCTTTGATACACAATACGATTCTTATCTTCATCTAATCAATAGAGAAACTAAGGCACAAAGAGTTAAGTGGCCATGACCCAAAGTCTTCACTAAAAAGTGGGGCACTAGGAGTTCAAACAAAATCAAATGTCCAGTTTAAGCACTCTTCTTAATCTCTATAGGAAAATCTCAGCAGTGACGTTGATCATTGGACCAGATGTTTCTTTGTTGGGGGAGGGATATCTTGTGCATTGCAGGATTCAAATTGGACTTGGACTTTACCACCTAGATCCCAGAAGCTCCATGTTGTAGCAGCAAAAAATGTCTTCAGACATTGTTAAATGTCCTTTAGGTACAGAGGGCCAAAATTGACCCCAGTTTCAAGCTACTTCCCTACAATATATTGTCTCTCTGGCATATGGAGTCAAGTAAAGTAATGTA